TAGAAAGATTTTTAAAACTAATATTGAACAAATAGTGGTCTGGAGAAAAAATTCTAATTAATTAGTAGACTCCACATAGGCCAAAATTTTTTTTAATTTAAATTTCAATACAGTCATGCGACACATGATGGAAATATAATCTGAGAAATATGTTATTAGGCAATTTCATTCATGTGTATTGCAAAATACCACACAGAGTGCCAACTTCTAAGTGCAAACTGAAAAGGTATACCTCAATCATCTGTGATGGCCCCTTGACATTATCCAAATACGCAGTTAAACATGAGATACATGAGGCTACCACTGGCATAGCAGCACACTGTTTTGCAATAAACTCTTTTATATAAGTAGGATTATGCTCTAAAGGGTGAAAAGCACAGCATGTTATGATAACTACCTAAAACAGTAACAGTCATTTACCACACTATCAAGTACTGTGCACTAAACATAGTTGTATGTGCTTCTTCTGGAAACATACCCTCCTCTCCTTTGATCTCAGTGACTCTTCCTTCCCAACGCACTAATGAGCTCCAGCCTAGTCTCTATCTACATCTCTTCCTATAGTTTTAAACACAATCTATATATGGATTTTTTCCAGATTCCAGCCTGTAACCTGATCTCTCCCCTTCCCCTCCTGCTACCCCTACCCCTTTGAACCTTTTCTTCTTAAACCTCGGTAGCTCGGCACGAGGAATCAACAACTGGGATCTCATCTTATTAAAAAGCTTCTGCACTGCAAGAGAAACCACCAACAGAGCTAAGAGACAACCTACAATGTTGGAAAAAAAATTTCAGCAGCTGCACCCTAGACAAAGGACTACTATCTAGAATATGTAAAGAACTGAAAAAAATCAGAACCCCCAGAATTCAAAAATGGGCATCTAAAATATACAGACATTTCTTAGACAAAGTAAAAGCATTAATAAATATACGAAAAAATGTTCAACATCACTGGTTATTCAAAAGATGCAGATGAAAACAACACTGAGATTCCACCTCACCCCAGAAAGAATGGCTACCATCATGAAATCAATCTAACAAATGCTGGCGGGGCTGTGGGGAAAGAGGAACCCTGCTCCACTGCTGGTGGGAGTGTAGACTGGTGCAACCACTGTGGAAATCAGCATGGAGATGCCTCAAAGAATTAGGACTAGAGGTCCCATTTGACCCAGCTATCCCCCTGCTGGGTATCTTCCCAAAAGAATTAAAAGAATCATACCAGTGACACATGTGCACCCATGTTTATAGCGGCACAGTTTGTAATAGCTAAAGCCTGGAAACAATCCAAGTGCCCATCAACTGGAGACTGGATAAAGAAGATGTGGTTTTTTTATAAAATGGAGTACTACTCAGCCATAAAGAACGAGACACTAGAGACATTTATAGCTAAATGGATGCATATTGAGGCCATCCTCTTAAGTGAAATAAATAAGACATGCATGTGTAAATACCGAATAGTTTCTCTAGTGTGAGAAACTGAAAGTGTAATTAAGGATTAAAATGATTAAAACGAATAATGGATAATCTGAAATACGAAGAAAAGGTTCATGTTTTGAGAAATCATGAGTTCATTTTTGCCTTGAATTTTTCAAATCCACTGATTTTAACTACATTAAATATAATTTCCTGGGATTTTTCTGTTTGTTTGATCTTTTTTTTGTTTTTGTTTTTGATTTTTTGTTTTGCAGTGCTAGGGATTGAATCTAGGCTGTTTGCACTAAGCTATATCCCCAGCCCTTTTAATTTTTTGAGACAGAGTCTCTCTAGGTTGCTATATTATTCAGGTTGGCCCTACACTTGTGATCCTCCTGCCTGTGCCTACCAAAATGCTGGGATTACAGGTGGGCATTACCACACCTGGGTATAATTTCCATATTTCAAAAATTTTAGAAAGATTCAATACTTTCACTAACAGAGTACTAATTTTAAAACATAAATACTTTATATACTGACGGTGAGTTTAAAAAAATTGAATTTGATGTATTATTTTATTTGGATAGTTCTGGGATTGAACAGTTTCTCTTATATTTTTAGTCACTATTTCCTCTTATAAAACTGATTTTACCTATTTATTTATTACAGTCTGTGTGTTTAGTAGCAATTTATATAAAAACAGTAAACCTTGACTCTACTTCCTAGAAATATTATCCCTAGGCTTGTTACTTGCTTTATTAATGTTTTTTCTTTCTGTTAGTCTTCAGAAATTTAAATTTCAAATAACAATACCTATTTTTCTCATTAATTTCTTATATACCTAATAAATTCTGGATGTCTTCTACCATCTAGAAATGTGATACTCATTTATATTTAGCTTTTTTTTTCTCTTTTGGTTTTTTGAGACATGGGTCTTACTATGTGGCCCAGGCTGGCCTCGAACTTGTCGCAATCCTATCTCAACCTCTCAAGTGCTGAGACTACGGGTATGCATTACCACACTCACCTTATATCTAGCTTTATTGCACAGACTTTTATTGAAAAAACAAAAGATGTCATGCTTTAAAATTGTATATTCTTTTATTCTAAAAGTAAAGCACGTTATGAAGAAAAATGAAAAATATATACAGCTTGATACTGTATTAGAAGGGAATTCACAGAGCATAACTGTAGTTTTTCTATTTGCTGGGGAAGATTCCCAGCAACTGAGAAGGGGGCACAGTCATTCTGTCTTCATTTCTGTACTGGCTGTAATGTGACTGACTAGGACATAAAAAGCAGCACGTTTCTAGCATTAATTTCAATGTTTCATATTTTGCTAGTGCTAAATAAAACAAAATTGTCATTAGACAAAAATGCTCAACAGCATCTTGGGACTGAGTGGATAATTAGATTCTTCAGTCTGATGTTTTGAGCTCTGGATTTTGTTTTTTGTTTGTATGTTACGGTGGGTGTCTAAGGTTTAGATAATAATTGTTGCTGGAAAACTTCAGCTATCTAGCTTCCTGTTATGTCAATATGAAAGAGTCACGGCTGATGTAGTCCTCTTCTCTCAAATCCATAGTTGTGCCCAAATACAAGTTAATCTGTATAAAGCTGTAGATATTGGACACTATTTATTTATGCTTCAAGCATGTCTTGTTTTATACAATTTTTAAAAATGTTCTGCTTAACTTACTTGAAATAAATACCTAAAAGCATCTCAATGGCTCATACTCCTTGGGGAGAGTAAAAAGAAATGACTGATGCCAATATGAAGAGTCTAAAGACTAATCCTATATCTAACCCTTTTCTTTTCATGCACCTGACCTACCAGTGTTTATGCCTAAGGCCAATATGAGAGGGAAGAGAAATAGTTAGAATTAGTTCTGTGATATGGTGTTTCTGTCCTTTTTCCTGTTTTAGTGCTTTTGTAGCTGAACTTACCAGAATAACATTACAATGGCATTTTCAGTCTCAGTGGAAAGTGGACTAGCCAATGGTTGATGTAAACATTTAAAAGGTTATGAGCATTAAAATTATAAATATTAGTATCTTGCTGAATTCTTCCCAAAAATGGTGGTGATCAAATATGCCATCTTTTTCAGGATTAATTCTAAAACTGAGGAAATGGGTAGATTTTCTCATTTCTTTCTTACCCAACCAGTCCCAAATCTTTTGCCTCTGAAATTTTTTGTGAAAAATTGCCGCATGGTAGCATTATTCAGATTTTAATGCCAAAAAACACTTTATAAATATTTGTATAGTATGTTTAAAGGAGGTTTTGAATATTTACATCAAATTAAATATGGAACTGTCTTAATGGATGTTTATAGTGGAAATAAATGTGTGGTAGACAGCCATTTCAAAGACATGTTAACCCATTTCTTTAGATGTTATTAGGTTTAAGAACCATTTCAAATTATTTTGCTGAAAGTTTAGACTACATAAAGTAATGAATCCATAAAATGTGGCAACTTAAAACATGTTGAAAGATGTTAAAGTAGTGCATTTTCCTCTTAAGAGTAACATTCTGGAAGTTATTATACATCAATGATGCAATCTTTTTTAAAGTCAGTTTTTCTTAAAAGGTATATTTTATGTTAACATGTAATCAGTTAACTAGATTTTGCCTGGTAAACTAAGTGCTTTTATATTTCAAGTTGACTTTAAAAAGCCATGAGTGGTCCTCCAAGTTTATAAACTCTCCGGTGACTAGTAGCATCGTGTTCAGTTATGGAATCTAGAATTAAAACACCTTGTATTGTCTGGTTTTAAGTGTCCCAGAGTTTTAAAGCATAAAGAGTAACATTTTATCTTAAAGTTACATTTCCCATTTGTTGTGTACATGTTTTATGAGGAACATTTAACATTACCCTCCAAGTCAGTTCTATGCATAATCATTTACCAAATAGTGCTAAGAAGGTTTCTTCAAGGAAGCATTCTGTGCTGTGCTATGATGCAGTGTCATCTTGCTGCTTGACAAATAGGTTTGTAAGGAATTAGAACCATGTGTGTTAACAGTACCTTTGTATAACAAGATGTAAATTAAAGATGAAGAATGTGCATAAATTATCATTTCAGTGTTTTTAAAATCGGTTTTCAAATTAAAGCTGTGGTTTGTACATTTTAACTTTCATGGCACAGAATAAATTAAAATGAAAACAAAACAAAAAATTATATATATACATATACAGCTACATAGTTTAAAGAGCAAAAGTCCATGTTCCTCCAAATTTTAGTAAAGAGATAATAACTGTCTCAAGTATTGTTTTCTATGCATACACAAAAACACAGGCAAAACTTATATTTCACTTCCTCCCCTCATGAGCTCTTAGCTCCTCCCTAATTAAGACTAGAGAATGGTAAAGATGGAATATATATTCAAATAGTAATTTGAAATGCCTAAGAAAGGATATAACACATTCCTCAAAATTCCAAAGCTTATTTATAGAATTCTTTATTCAAGAAATGACACTATTTTAGAAATGGTAGTTTAATAACTTCAGACAACTCAAAATGACAATGTTTTTCTCAATAATAAGGATACTAATCAAATGTTACAAAAATAAAAGCTCATAACTTACTTGGGATACACTGGTTCATAAAGGTATTTGTCCCCTCTTGAAGATGTAATATGAAAAAATAAGATGTAGCCATTTGCCGTCTGAAAGAGAAATTTTATCAATTATGAATTAAAGAATACAGCTAGGACTGTCACCCTAAATTTTAACTTTGTATGTTCTCACTGTGAGAACAATCTCACTCTTAAGAAACTTCTTTTGAAAATGTTCCAATGAGAAGGGGAACAAGGGGCGGGGGAAGGAAAAAAAAGAATAGAAGGAGAAAAATGGAAACAAAGCTTTGGTAAATGAGGAAGGGAAAGGAGGTTAAAAGGAGAGGAAGGGAATGGGTAAAAAAGAAGAATCAAGATATGTTATGTACAGGTACAAATTCCCTATAATGAATGTGATCATTGTATGTATCAAAAGTTTACCAGTAAAATTAATTTTAAAAAAGAAACTTCCTTTAAAGGAGCCTAACTATGCAAATGAAACTTCTTTTGTTTTAATATAACCCATTATGGAAAGAAAAGTTTTTACAGATTTGAAAATATTTCCTAAAGATTTAATTGAAATTAATATTTCATAAACTATTATAACCTCAAATAGTTAATTATTCAATAGTAGACGAAAGATTATTTTACAAAATACACAGAATGTTATAAATACTACAATAATATGGCAGATAATTATTCCAAGATGTAAAGCAACACCACCGAACAGTAACAGTATGTAAAAATGCTTGATTGTCCTCAGAATTTAAATAGTATTAATTTCAAACTAGCATACATATATTCTTCAAAATCAATTTTTTGTTCTCTGATTTATTATAAAATACAGCCTATGATACAAAAGAAAAACAAAGCAAGGCTTTAATTTCCCAAAATTGAACACCAGCTAATTAAAGCTAACCTCTAATTTCCAAAGTATGAACATTCGAGCATCAAATCTGAACATTATGTTTGTAAGTTAACGAAACATCTTTAGAACAGAAATTGTATTAAAAACAAACTGCTATTATATGATCATGGCATAATCTGTGACTTGTGGAGCTCAACCATTTCATGTTTATATAAATACTGTATAAAAAATACTATATATGGCCATTTCTAACCAAATATTTTCAAGCTTAAGTATGAAGTGTTAAATGTTTTCCCCCAAAGTATTTTATACTAACAGTGAATTCCTATTATTTTGGAGGTGGTTGGGTATCTACTCAAACCAGAGCCAAAGAAAATAAAAGGAATTATCCAAGGTTTCAAATTTCTTTCCTTCCTGTTTTTCACTTAACAGAACGACAAAGCCAGGTTTGTCTTTTAACTACAAACTTTACTATTTTGTATGTATTCTGAAAAACTATAGTTCAACTTATTAGGCTACAAAAGAAAAAGGGTAAGGTCGGGGGTTTAGCTCAGTGGCACTGTGCCTGTCTCACAAGCACACGGTCCTGAGTTCAATCCCTGGTACCAAAAAAGCAGGGGTGAGGCGTAAAGACTATTCAGGTGAGATCATCTTTCTAATTCTTCATGGGTAATTTTATGTTCTTGCCATACAGAGAACATGGAAGCAAAAGGAAAATGGTTTCAAATCAAACCATAGTAAACATTAAACACATACACAGAATGACTGCTCAAAAATTTTAAACTCTGGCACCTTATTTGGGCTGAAAAATGAACACAGTATGGTCTTGTACTGAATATAGACAACATTAATACATAAATTCTATCTAGAGTAGCAATCACTCAAGGCCAAAAGTTCAATATTTCAGAGAATTAAGTGATAATAATACATTCAGAAGTCTAATAAGTGCTTAGAAGACTACAATGTCAAGGAGAATATAGCATCATTTTTCACAGCATTTGGAAACTTTATATATATAATATACTAGATAAAAACAGAAATGTCTTGATTTACTATTTTGTTACTTTTATCAATCATCTTAACTAAATATTTCACACTTTGTATATATACCAAATGTTATATACTTCTCAGATTTCAGTATCTATCACTGATATTTCATAAATAGTTCTGCCTTTGAACAAATTAAAAAATCTTGGTACTAAATTGTTATTCTTTAAAAAGTAGCTTCTTAATGTATATACTAAATCTGCCACTAGGCGGTGTTACAAGAGTGCATTCGCTTCATGCTACTAAAGTACTGCAAAGCAAGCATGTAACTATTGCCTAACTTGTAGGTCACAATCCCAATACCTTTTTTCTAACATGAATACAAGGGGTGATCAAAAGATATAGTAATGTTTCAATTTTTAAAACATTTACTACAGTAAACAACAGATTGCCAAGAACAAGGGGTAAGTGTAATCAAAGTGAGGGGGACTATTTTGAGTATTCTGAGGGGGATTAATGGCAATATATCTTTTAAGTACTGTAATAATTTTTATATGTAAACATTCTTTTTTTAATCACACCACATATACATCCCAAAACAAAACTAATTTTTCTAACTAAATGAAAAAAATAAAGAACCCTAGAATTTTTTTCCTGTTGTCATCACCTATTTCAAATGTGGTTTACTTCTTTTACTTTTCTTTTTTTTTTGATACCTGGGATCAAACTCAGGACTTTGCGCTTATGACACAGGCGGCGGAACCACTGAGCTAAATCCCTGGCCCTATTTCTTTTATTTTTCTATAGGACAATATCATGTATCTGGCTCTAATGACCTGAACAATGTACTGCAAAGATCAGCATATTAATTTAAGATATAAAGGTCAGATGACTAAGATATGTGTCTTATATTCTCATATCAGGCTTCAAATAAAGAAGCAAGAGACTAGCGCTTTTAAATTCTTCATATTACTGTGTAAATGACATTTTTATACGTTTGAAATATGAAAATACATAGTATTAGCCCAAAATATCACTTTTCAAAGACAATAACATTTTGTATCAATTTTCAGACTTTGTACATATATATATATATATATATGTATACTTCAATGGGAAACAATAAAGTTACAAATCAAAAGCACTCTCAAACATAGGTGATAATTTTTTACATAAATACTCATCACATTGTTTTATACCAGGTTTCTGCTTCTAATCAAAATGTATTAAACAGAAGTTGATCAATGTTCCTATCTTAAATAAGACCAAAAACAACAGCAACCCTCCCGCCAAAACAAAAAAACTCCAAACAAAATATTTGAAATGATTTTCAACACATACATCAACTAATGAAGGCTGGTTATCCTTGACAGATGGGAAACAAAAGTTAGCTCTACCCTTCTTACCCAGCTGACTGACTTTTGAGATTTGCAGCACAACAGTGAGAAAGATTATTGAGGCAGAGCCTAGTAGACTCCCAGAATTGAAGAAATAAAGCTGAAGAAATAAACTGAATGGAAGAAATAAAGTCCTGGAAGAAAAAGGCAGTGAGAAATCAGGTAACAAAGTACCACAGAGAAAAAGAACTACTCATAGAAATGACTGAAGGGTACAAATAAGGATATGCACATGAGGAAACTACTGAGAATAAGAGAAAGGACAATCCAAAAAGACTGGTAAAGAAAACAGTACATGGTACTCAAACTAATCATGGGACTACTATCTGTTCCACAAGCAAGAGTAAAGAAGGTCATAATTCAGAGTGCTGGGTAGAATACTCAGAAAGTTAGTCACCAGACATTCCTATAGTAATTCTAGAAAAGTACTGCCTTAGGAGTGAGGATGAGTGCAAGATTAAGCACTACTCTGAATCCACAAAACAAAGTTTTAAATACAACATGAACAGATCAAACTATTTCCAAGTAACTTAATGGCATACCAGGAAGATTAGCACCGCAAAAATACTCAGCACATAACCAAGTAAAATCACAATGCCTAGCATCTAATGAAAAGATAATCACACATGCAGACTCAGGAAAATAGCAGACATAATGAGGAGGAAAATCAACCAATCAAAATCCAGAATATGGCTCGGAATTTAGCTCAGTGACACCATGCCTGCCTTGCAAGCGCAAGGTCCTGAGTTCAATCCCCAGTACCAAAAGAATAAAAAAAAAAAATCCGAAATGTTGAAATTAGCACAAAAAGGCATTAAAACAGTACTATGTTCCAAGTAACATTAAAACAGTTACCAAATTCCTTGTCTTGAAAGGTTAGAAAAATACAGAAAACCCAAATAGACTGTAGAGATAAATATATGAGATGAAAAATACATGGGAGAGGATTAATGGTAGGTTAGACACTACAGAAAAACATTACTGATCCTAAAACTGCAACAATAAAATTAATAATAAAACACAAAAAAGAACAAAGTAAAAGAGAAAAAGACAAAGAATTATTGAAGGATTTCAGGTGGCCTAATAGATACATATGGATATGTATGTAAATACATACACATATTTATATATACACTGATGTGTACATATGTGTATACATAGTCCCAAGTATTATTTCCATTAAATTTATTATTTCCTTCATTTAAATTTCTCTAGTGAACTTTTAAACACAGCAGTAATATATGCTGCAGTTTACATTATACGTAAAAGTATGTTCTCTGATCCCAATAGACTTAAACAAGAGCCCAATAAAGGATAATCTTGGAAAATCTTCAAGTTTTGAAGATAATAGCATAAATAACTCATAGACCAAAGCAGAAATCAAAAAGGAAGTTTTAAAAATATAGCATATGACAATTTGTGGGATTCTATTAAAGCAGCACTTACTGGGAAATGTATAGCTTCAAATATCAATTTTTCTAATAAAAAAACCAAGCCAATGACCTCAGCCTCTACATTAAATTAGAAACAAAAGAATTAATGAAACCCTAACAAAGCAAGGGGAAAAAAGCAAATAATACAGATCAGAGTGGAAGTCACTTAAAGAACACAAAAATATCAATGAATTTTTAAAGAAAATTTTTAAAGAAAATCACTAAAATGGAAATGTCTCTAATCATCAAGAAAAAAGGAAAGACTATACTATCAGAACTGAGACAAATAACATGACGATAGCCAGGGATTTAGCTCAGTGGTTCTGTCACCTGCCTTGCAAGTGCAAGGTCCTGAGTTTGATCCCAGGTACCAAAAAAAACAAAAAAACATGACTACAGATTCTAGAGACGGTAAAATAATGAGGT